CCCACCCTGCAGGCATGCGGACAGATGCTCCTCCCGCCTTGCCAAGTTCCCTGGGGCAGAGCTCCTGAGCTGGCCTCCCATTCACCAACACGTATCTGTGGAGGACCTCCTGGGTCCTGGGAACATAGCAGGGGGTGGGGTGAATTCTCTGCGCTCTTGGAGGTGGCTATGTGGGGGTCAGATGATAAACAAGCAACCATGGACAGAGAAGGCTCTCAAAACTAGGCCACCTCTAACGAGTTTTGGTGCAGGCCTCGTGTGCATGAGCATGTGCGCGCGTGTGTGTGGAGGTCACAGCCACTGTGAGGGGTGACGGCACTCAAAGTGAGCAGGCCCCCCGGGGCTCACCGGGCAGGGTTGCTCTCATCTTCCCTTTGGCCCTGCAATTGCACTTCTAGGAATTTACCCCAAGGCCAGAATCTAGGGTCCAAGGATGTTCACTGCAGTGTTGTTTATACATCAGTTAAGGGATTGGAAATAAGAAGGGGGCAGTCAGATAGCAGGATGTCCACACACCAGAATCCTATGCAGTCACTAAAATTGCTATTTTGAATGAGTCTGAGTGTCAGGGAGAAAGATGCTTGTGGCTAAGCTCCTAGGTGCCAAAGGCCAGTTGCAAACCTGGGGGAAATGGTGTGATTTCTGCTTATACCCATGCCTACTGTGCACACACTGGGGGTATCTGAAGGCCAAGACACCGAATGTTGATGGGAGTTTCCTGCGGTTATCAGATTACATTCGGCTTTTGTCCCTGTGGTTTTACTTCAGGTATATTCTTTAGTTTTTCTAAATGAATTTGTATTCATTCCATTATAATTTAAAACTACATTTACCTAGGCATAGAAAAGACCCAGGGAGGCTTTAAAACAAAATGTAAATAGGTATTTACATCTAGGTGGTGGGACTAGGGGTGATTTTTCTTTCCTTTTTTAATTTGGATAATCAAAAAGTTACTCTTTTAGAAGTAAAAAGCTAACCTTTTCAAACAATATGGCTTCTCTCTCACTTACCAACTTTACATTTCCCTGTATGGCCCCGGAAGATGACTGGTTAGCCAGAGACGGGTAAGATTCCTCAAGGGAGGAACAACCTAAGACAGGCACAGTCGCAGGGGGGCCATCAGGTGAGAATTTGGGGATCAACAGAGGTGAGGCTCAGAACCTCACTCCCCCTGCTTTGAGAGAAATCTTCTGCATCCGTGGATGTCTTGCTGCCCTTGTCTAGCCTGGATTAATACTTAGTCCATAGGCACACACCTGATCATCTGATCATCTACATTTGCCCTCTTACAGCACTAAACCATGTTTTCTACCTTTATCTTGCATCTACCTACCACTTCAGCATTTTATTAAAAATAAAAATAATAATAATAATAAAGGGAGAAATGTGGGATCAACATATAAATCAAGTACAAAAATCAAACGAATATTCATATTTGACCTGATTGTTATAGGTCATAATGCGTGATCAAAACCAAAAGTTTCTGTGATGACTGCCCTTGTACTGTTCACCATGTAAGAATTTAGTCACTATGTAAGAATTCGTTCACCATGTAAGAACTTGTTCGTTATGCTTCAGAAGATTGGAGACTGACGAGAATTAGACTTGAGATGGATTAATGAGTGTACATTGAGCATTGACCCCCCTATACTGAATTTTATTGTTGTTAACAACCATTTGATCAATAAATATGAGAGATGCCCTCTCAAAAAAAAAAAAAGTTACTCTTTTAGACAAATAGTGATTCTACAACATCTTACTATGCTGATGGACAGTGACTGTAATGGGGTTTGTGGGGGGGAGTTGGGGTAGGGGAGAGCCTAGTAAACATAATGTTCTTCATGTAATTGTAGATTAATGATAACAAAAAAAAAAGTTACTCTTTTATAAAGCACCTCTGATTGCTCCTGAGATGGCCCCACCGCGCAAGGTGTCCGCCAAGGGAGGCCAATTCAACTGAACCCTCACAAGCGACCAGTGACACTCTCCACCCTTGGGGAACATACAGCTTGCAGGGGTCGGTGGCCTCGAGAGGGGGGTGCAGGAACCCCCAGGGGTGACAAGTGAAAGGCTTAGGATTTCCAGTCACACTTTCCATCCTGTGCCATGCCCATTCTTGTGTATGCCTCATCGTGTATACAGTGCCCAGATGCAGTAGACCTGTATGTGACTTACAAATAATTCACCTGTGTCCCTGGGGCTGACGTGTAATTCTGAGAGGACGTGGATCAAAAAGGTCTGGAGGCCGGTGGCCTGGGAGATGGGGTGACAGATGCGCAAGCAAACGGGCCACTTCAGACCTAAATCCTTGGGGTCACCCTTCCCCTCTTTCCCACGCCCACTCTGCTTGGAAAATCCTGTTGTCTCCACCCTCAGAACAGATTGAGGACCTGCCTACTTCTCACCACTCCTGCCGCAACCAGCCCAGTCCCAGCCGAGCCGCCAGCCTCGAAGCAGCCCTCTGCATCCAGTAGTCAGAGCCGCCTGCCCTCTGCTGGGAGCCTCCTCTCCGCCAAAGAGCCCCAGTCCTTGAGGGACGAGGCCTTGCAGGATCCGCCCCTGCATCTCCTCTCCGCCCTCACCTCCACCCAGCCCCAGCCTCAGCCAGCCAGCCAACTTCCTTTGTTCCTCCCTCAAAGGCCTCAGGGCCTTTGCATCGATAGCTCTCTCCCACATACCCTTCCACCGCTCCACCTTCACCTCCTCCAAACGGTTTGCTCAGATGTCACCTTCTCCATGATACCACCCTGACTGTGTCTGTAACGCTGCAGCCAGCAACCCCTCCTGCCCCTGCTGCCCCTACTCTACTCCCAGTTTCCCCAGGCCTTAGCAACTTTCCCTCTAGAACCCAGGCTCAGTGAGGGCAGGGCTGGCCGTCGGCTTTGTGCACTGGTGTGCTGCCCGTGTCTAGACTACTGTCTCCACACAGAAGCCAACCAACAGATAGTTAACAAACAGGAGCCTTAGGACCAGGGCAGGGGCGTTGAGAGGGCTGCGGGCTGGGGAGGAGGGCAGTGAGGAGAGGCTCACCTGGGGGGCCCCAGGGCCAAAGAGAGCCGTGCTCAGGGGAGGGCTGGTGGAGCCCTGGCGCCAGCTGGGGAAGGTGACAGGCCACGCCCAGCCACCCTGGACTCAGTTACCACGACAAAGAGCCTGCCTGCATTCCAGAGTCCAGAGCCTCCAGAGGGTTTTAGGCAGAGGAGAGCACCCGGCGGTGCCAGCTGCCCCCAGTGGCCATGGGCTGGGGATGGCGTGTCGCCCTCTGCAGGTGTGCGGCAGTGCCTAGTGCAGGGCAGGTGCTCAGCAAATGTCTGGGGGACTGAGGTGTTCCCTGGGCTCCCCACAGAGAATGGAGTTGGGTTCTGTGAAAGGGCCTCTGCAGAGGCCTCGGGCTGCTGGTAGAGGGCTCGGCAGCTCCCACCACAGATGCACTCCAAGGCCCCAAGGCTGCACTTCGGCCTCCGTTTCTCAGCCTATTTACTGCCTCTTCCCTCCTGGAATGTGAGCCGCCCCGGGCAGCAGGGGGCTCTGTGGGTCTTGGCCATCACCTATAATGGGCCTCGGCTTACAGATGGTGCGGCAGCATGAATAAATGAAGGATGGACGGAGCACAGGGTAAAGGCGGGTGTTTGCTGAGAATGAACTGAGGGGCCAGCCCCCTTACCAGACGCAGGGACATCAGCTGAGGTGCAGCCTGAGGGATGTGAGGTTGACCCCAAGCACACTGGAGGGCAAGGTGCCCCGTAGGAGGCGGCACAGGAGGGGCGGCCTAGAGGCGGCGGACACAGTCCTGCAGGGGCAGGGCAGGGTCATGTGACACGACCCCTCACATCTCTGGCTTCACTGATCCTTGCGCTCATGGCCACCCAGGAAGGGACAGCCTTCCTGCCTCTGGCAGTCCCCTGGTGCTACACCCCTAAAAGGTCCCCTCTCTCACCCTCAGAGGGGAGGCTTGGTCCTCAGTGTCTCTAGGACAGTCAGACGGCAGCCGCTGCCCCCACTAGACAGGCCAGGAAGTGCCCCGGATGAGGGAGGTGAGCCGGGGGGGGGGCCTGGCCATCGCACAGGGGCCTCTCTCCTCCTGGCCTTCTGGGCTGGCGTGGAGGTCTGCACAGGGGCGGGGGTTGACCGCATGCCTTTAAAACAGTGGTTCTCGACCAGGGGCGATTCCGCAACCAGGAAACAGCTGTGACATCTAGGGATACTGGAACCTGGCTGGGGCAGCGTGCTGCTGTCATCTAGTGGCTAACGGTGCTGCACCGCACCCTACAGTGCCCAGGTGGGCCCCGCGACAACGATGACCCGGCCCCACTGTCAGTGGAGCAGAGGTGGGGAGATCCTGCTTTAAAAAAGCACAGCTCTGCCCCCAAAGTGTCACTTACGTCTCAATCACAATCCTGATTCATCAGATGGCAACTGCTCTATCCGAGTGCCAACCACATGCCAACATGGCACCAGGCACGCGAGAGCTCCCAGCTCTCCAGCCACGCCGCCACCTGGGCCAAGGGGGCGTGCGAGCCCCATACTGCCCAGCAAATGAGTGCTCCCCAGGTTCTAAGTCCATGACAAGTATGAAACCCGTCGGCCCTTACACCGAGTCCTGGGCCCAGGCTCTTATCACCCCTATTTTTCAGAGGAAGAACTGAGGCCCAGAGTCACCCCATCATGTGTCCAAGTCCACCCAGTGGGCGCGGCGGCCCACACGGCACGGGGGCCTCACGGAAGGGTTGCTCTCAGCACGACCTGACTCCAGCCTTGGGAGGCCGGCAGGTGGGCCCCCCAAACACCGGCACAGAGGCACGGAGCCTTGTGCCCCAGAGAACACAGGAGCCCAGGCTCCAGTTGCTGGGTGCAAACCCTGTCTCCTGAGTGCCCAGGGGAAGGGCGTGGAGCTGTCGGGAAGCCCAGAGGCCCTCTCCAGCGCAGGGAGGAGGGTGGCACTGCCTGTGTGCATCCCCGGTGCCGCCCCGGCCCCACCGCAGGCTGCTGGCCCCACTCACCTGGATGCCGTTCTCCTGCAGGTTCAGGTACCGCGTGTTGACAGGGATGCTGGCTGGGACCTCGGCCAGCTCTCTCCGCGTGCAGATCACCCGGCTGGCCTGGTTGCTGCAGGAGCAGGCCGCGGGGCAGGAGGTGGCTGGCGGGGAGCCCCCTCCGGCAGCAGACGTCAAGGCCACGCCGCCCCCGCCGGCCCCCAGGGGTGGGGAGAAGAGCCAGAGGAAGAGCAGGGCCCCGTGGGGCCAGGACATCCTACCGGGCAGCGGTGGGGGGCACGGGGAGCCGTGGGCGCACGCCATCCTCAACGTTCATGCTCCACGCGGGCGCCGGGGGGCTGTTGGGAGAGAGACAGGGAGAGGCTCAATGAGGGACAGGGACCCTGTGTGGCCCATCTGCTCCCCAGCTGACCAGGCTGCTCTCGGCCCTGTGCTCAGACATCATGCCCATTTCATGGAACCGACAGCGGAGGCCGGGGGGACAGGAGAGGAGGTGTACCGTGGGTTGCCTGGCCAGCACCAGAGACGTTCAATAGATTCAAAACTTAGTTCTTTGCATGCTTTCCAAAAAGTAGACAAATAGGTAGAGATGGAGGGAGAGACAGACAGACAGACACACACACACACACACACAAAAGTGACAGAGGGGGGCAAGAGTCAAGCCAGGAAAGTCTGGGCAAGGGTCTGGCTCCCACCACAGCACCCACCAAAGTCCCCAGCGCCTGCACACACCTCTAGGAGGGGTCCACTCCTGCCTGCTCACCCCGCTGCTCCCTCCCAGGAGAGTTCATAAGAGGCCAAGTTTTGCCACACTTGACATCCTCCACCGGCTGCCCCTCACCTGCTGTGGGCCTCGCAGCGGCTGGATGGGTTTGAGTCAGACTCGAAGGGGGAGACTGGCAAAGGTGAGGTACCAGACGACACAGCTCTTGGGGTGATGGGTGTGGGCAGGTAGGGGAGGGAGAAGGCTGCATGTGGTAATGGGGTGGCAGTGGCTGAGGGTGGCCGGGGGGCTGCCAGCAGCCCACCTGTTTGCCCTGGGATTGTGGATGCTCAAGGCAGAGTCTCTGGTGGGCCTGTGCCAGCAGCTGCCACAGGACCCTGCTGGGGCAGCTGATGGGGGGCCTGGTGGGGGGCGGGCCCCTGTGCCTGAGCTCTGGGAGGGGAGTGGGCCATGCTGGGGTTAGAGCCTCCCACCCCACTTCCAACAGACCAGAGATGGCGCATCACAGCAAGAGCAACGCCAGCAGCGGTGGTAACAGCCCCGGCGTGCTCATCAGCCCTTTGCACACGCTGGGCTCTGCACACGCGGCCCACAGGGGCTCACCCTGGCGCAGCAGGAAGCTGTTAGGACGCCCCATGTACAGATGAGGACCCTGAGGCACCAGGCAGGCAGAGGGCCTCCTAGGGCACAGAGCTGGCCACTTCGTGGCTGAGGGGCACTGTGGCCCTGGGCCTGCCCCTGTGACTCCCAGCCCTCCCTCCCACGCAGGCTCGAGTACACACAAATGCTCCCACACCAGCGGCGCAGCTCCCACACAGCCCGCCCCAGAGCCCCCCCACCCCCGGCGGGGGAGCGGGAGCAGCTGCACAAACATGCACCCACGGCAGTGACGGGCTGACGGGCACGCCCTCACCCCGCGGACTCCTAGAGCCGGACGCGGGCCGCCCCAACGCACACACGAGTGTGCGCACACACACACACGCCCTCCTGCAGTTTCCAAGATCACTTTAACGCAGATAAAAATGCATGTGTGTCGTCTGTGTGCTGAATGCATTTTTGAGAGCAAGAGCTAGACAGGGAGAGAGGGACAAGGACAGAGGGACAAAGAGAGACTGAGGGACAGAGATGAGAAAGACACAGAGAGGGACAGACAGACAGAGAGACAGAGGGTCAGAGTGGGGGCTGACTCTGTGTCTGCACCCCAGACTCATTTTTCCACCTGGAGGGCCTCTATCCCTGTGTCGATGTCAGGGCGGTGGGGTCTCTGCTTGGGCGAGCGTGACAGGGACGTCTACCCGGGTCCTTGTCCCTCGCCCACCATTCTCGTTCCCACCTCTGAAGACCGGTGATGGCCCAGCCCATACCCTCTGAGCCAGGCTTTGAGGCTGGGGGACCCACAGCGCAGGGACCCCCTCGGGCCGAGGAGGCTGCAGCACCTGCCCCAGGCCCAGGCCCAGGCCCGCTGCCGCGTCCACCTCTGCATCTGTCCCCATCTCGCTGCTGCCAGCCCACATCCCCCACCACGGCGGCCTCTGCAGCGGCTGGCCCTCCCTCCCCTTCCTTCGCCTCCGCCATCTCTGTCCTTGTCCCCCCCACAGCGAGGGACACTCACCCCAGTGGCTCCACTTCCGCTGGGCCTCTCCCAGCGCCCCAGGCCGCCCCCTCCACATGCCTCCAGCCGACGGGGGCTCTGCTTTCCCAGTTTTCCAGGGCTTCAGTCGTGGGGGTCGTGCTGGGGGGGGCGCAGGGGCTTCTTGGGTCTCCCCGCGCCCCCCCCCGCCTGTCGCCCTTCCCACCCCCCCCAAGGCCGGTCCCGGCCACTGCAGCAGCCTTCGGCTCCTCCCCTCCCTGCTCGCCGCCTCCTGCTCCTACCCTAACCCACACCTCTGCCAACCCTCTCCCCCGATGCCAGCCTCTTTTCAAGCACCAACCCCAGCGCCCCCTCCGCTCTCCTGTCCCTCTGCCTCCGTCCTGTCCTGTCCACCTCCACAGGCTGTACCCCCACTGCAGGCTCCCCTCACGGTATCGCCTCCCTCGGGGCCACAAGGCCCCCCCTGTCCTTCTCTTCCATCTCCTCCTTACTCTGCGCCCAACCCCATCACCCTCTGCAGGTCAGGGAGTCCGTCTTGGTCAGATTCTCTGTCTGTCCGTCTGTCTTGGTCTCTGTCGGCCAGGCTCTGTCTGTCTCTCTGGCTTTCTCCGCGATTACAATTTCTAGTCACACGGCAGTGCAGAGCCAAGCTGTGCCTCAGCTCGCGCCCTCCCCGCCTCACCCCTCCTCCTTTCTCTCCCTCTGAGTGGGGAGGGCGCCTCTCCCCCCTCCGCCTCGGCCCCCTTCCCAGTGCCCAGAGGCCTCCCCCTCCTCCGCTAATCAAAGGCTCCGTTATCTAATTAACCCATTGGTTCTGGGCAGCCTGGGAAGGTCGGGGAGCGGAGGGGGCGGGGAGGAGGGTGGACGGCTGGGCTGCCCAGGAAGGGAGGTCTGGCCGTGCCAAGCCTGGCCTCGTGGCCCAGGCAGCCTCATCGGCTGCATAACCAGGCTGGGCCACCGTGCACCCCCCAGAGCTGGCCACAAGCACCCCTCCTGCCCCTGCAGACGCCCTAGCTCAGGCTCCGGGACAGCACTGCCCAAGCCCCCAGCCATGCTGCACAGCCGTCTGCTCCGCCCCCCACCCCAGCGATGCACCTCGAACCCGGCCCCCCCCCGACCATCACCCCAGTCCTTCAGCTGAGGGCCAGACCCACTCAGGCCACAAAGAAACCCCCCGCAGATGCTGCCCTCTCCCTGGATCCGAGCCAGATCCTGGGAGCCGCCTCCCGGTACACTTCTGCAAAATGGGCAGGGCAGCCCCTTTGTTCCTTCCACCTGCCAGTCCATCCAGCGAATATTTCCCCAGCGCACTCAAAACCTAGGCACCCATGGCCACAAAAGACAAGCCACAATAGCATAGCACCCTGATCAAACGCCGGGGGCCTGGGTTTGAACCCTGGATCTGCTGTCGCCTTGCTGTGTGACCTTGGTCTGGTGGCTTCACTTTTCTGAGCTGCATAAAATGGGCACCAGGGTAGTGACCATATCTGTCTCAGGGCCCTGGGGGCTGACTAGCTAAGTGCTCAGTAAATGGCTCTACCTGTCCCTACAGGCAGCAGAGTCGGCCACTCCTCCCTGCTCCCAGGCCAGCTCCGTGCAGCCACCATCTCCCAGCACTCAGAGTCGCCTGCTCACCGGTCTCCTCTCTTCCCTGCCTTCCCTCCTGGGCAGCCAGAGGAGGCTGTCTAAGTCCAGGCAGACCGTGCCCCTCCTCGGTCAGGCTCACTAGATGCATGGTTTATAAGCCCCTCTCCCCAGGCCCAGCCCCCCTCTGCTGGCTCTCAGACCTGACCTGCTCCCACCACACCGGCCTCTGGCTCCAGGACAGGCTGAGTGCACTCCTGCCTCAGGGCTTTTGCACTTGCTCTCCCTCTACCTAGATCCCTGGTGTCTCTGCTATCGCTTGGGTCTTTGCTCAGATGTCACCTTTTCAGTGAGGCCATCCTGACCACCTCGCATCACACAGCATCCCCAGCCTTCCCCAGAACCTTTTCTGCCTAATTTTGCTATGTAACAGTTGTCTCCATGTGACCTCTAATAGTCCACACACTCGAGTGTAAGCTCCCCGAGGGCACAGATTGTGTCCATTTTGTGCACAGTGTGGTTCCCTAGTACATGGTAGGTGCTCAGTAAATACTGGGTGAAGGAGTGAATGAACAAGTTATGGCTTTAGTCTCTGCTCCTCTGGGTTACACCGCATCTCTCCCACAGTCACACAGAGCCTCAGCCACCGGCCACATGCCCTGCCCAGCCCCCAGCTCAGATGTCCCCGATCCTGAAGTCCCTTCCCATCCCGGGAAGCCTGACCAGTGGAGGCTGCACATTCATATGCCACAAACACAACTACCTTCAGCTCGACACGGTGCCTAGGCCATGCTGCTGCCAAGGTCCCAGATACCATAAGCTGGGTCCCAAACAGCAGGTCTCCAGTGCAGCTCCCTGCTCCCCACTAGCCATGCCCTGAGGGCAGCGGCACCTCAGGAAACACCAGTGTGAGCCTGCAGGAGTGCTGGCTGTCCCCATCTCGCTGCTGCCAGCCCACATCCCCCACCACGGCGGCCTCTGCAGCGGCTGGCCCTCCCTCCCCTTCCTTCGCCTCCGCCACCGTCCGTCCATGCGTCCCTCCACATCGGACTCGTCCCAAGTCCCTGAATAACACCACCACCAGTAACGGTGATGTCCACCCTGTACCTGGCACGGACTGGGCCCTGTTCCCGAACTTTACTTGCATTAACTGTACTTCTCCCATCAACCCTCTGAGAGGGACAGCTGTTCACAGATAGGGAAGCCGAGGCACAGAGAGGTGGAGTCACTTGTCCAAGGCCACACCTAGGAAGCAGCCTCTGCCCCGTCAGCCCCACCAGAGCCGAGGGGCCCGGGAGCCCCTCAAGCTTGTCACGACAGCAGTAACAGTCCCCAAAGAGGTCTCCTGGGGGGGCATATTAAATAACGGTTGTCTCTGCACACCCTGCTGGTGGAGGCCCCCTTGGCCTGCCTTCAGTGGCCCCCCCACCAACCATGGCACCCCTAGTAGTGATGAGAAGCATTCACTGAGCACTCACCGTGTGCCTAGGGCCGTGCTAAGTGCCGCCCACTCCTCCAGCCTCTGGCTTCGCCTGTTGTGCGCATTTTATAGATGGAGAAGCAGAGCCAGAGGGCTGACAGCACTGGCTGTGGGGCAGCTGGGACACCAGCCCAAGGCCCAGAACCTAAGCAGGTCGCCATGCTGCCTCCCTCACCCCAGTGCCCCAGGAGAGGCCTCAACAAGAGGGCGCAAGGGAGGATGCAGAGATGGAGATGAGAGAGGCCCCAAAGACAGAAGAGGTGTGAGGGCAGCGAGACGGAAGGGGGAGGACAGGCTGAAGCCTGAGTGCAGGTGAGCGGCGAGAGACGGAGAGAGGCTGCCAGAGGGGCGCGCGAGCCGGGAGGCCAGGGAGCAGGGCCAGGAGCCGGGATCCAGGCGAAGGCAGGGGCGCGGGGCCCAGGCTCCCAGCCTCCCCGTCCTCCCCAGCCCAAGCTCCGAGAGATCTCGGGCACCGCGCCTGCGAGGATTCAGGCAGATGGCAGATCGGAAACCCGGGGGCCCAGGGGAGGTGGGGTGAGGAGACAGGGAAGCAGGGAATATTCCTGCCAGGCGTACTCATTTTTCTGGGGGAAGTTCAGTAGGTGAGAGCAAAGATAGGAAATGGACTGCCATCGCAGCAAGAGGGATGGAGGTTAGATCTAAAGAAGAACTTCCCGACTGTGCGGGACTGGGGCGGAAGTGGAGCCACAGCCGGGAGGGCGCAGAGACATCAAAGTCCGGGAGAGCCGAGCGCGTCTCCTTCGGGATGCCTGTGCTCCGGGCAGGGCCGGGGCCGGCGGGGCGGCGGGGAGGGTTGAAACAACTTCGTCCATGCGCCCCTCGCAGCCGGACCGCGTCCTGAATGCTTTTAAAATAAAAGCAACCTCAAAGCCCTGACATTGGCAGTCCCCTAACTTTTGAGACACAAGTACCCTGGGAAAGGGCAGCGCAGGCCTCTCAGAGCTGCTGCTGAGGACGCAGCGCGGGGGGGGCTCGGCTCAGGCTCCGGGCCAGGGGCCCACAGGCAGCAGCGCCAGGCTTCCCGGGCGGGAGGGGGCCTCGCCGGAGGCCGGGGGGCTGTCCTGGCCTGGCTTTCCCCAGCTTCCCACACAGGCACTGGCGGCTCGGCTCGTTGGTGTTTGGTTCTCCATTGTTCTTCTAACAGGTATTTACGGAGTGGCTCTGGCCCCTCTGCCCTGACCCCACCTCCGCGCCGCGGCGCCCCCACTACCGAGGCTCCTCCCACACACCGGGCACATTCCCGCCGCAGGGCCTTTGCTCCTGCCGTCGCCTCCGCTGCGCCGCCTGCCTTCGATCCCAGTTCCTACACCGCCTCTTTCTCCGCCGCGCCCCCACCGCTTGCACTGAACGCCCGCTCTTCTTCCCGGCCCTCGGAGGGCCGACGGCACCTGCTCTGTTTCTTGACCGTCCCCGCCTAGAAGGTGCGCTCCCCGGGCAGGAGTTTGTCGGGCGTGCTCGCTGCTGTGCCCCGGTGCCTAGGACCCCCGGGGCCCCAACAGCGTTCGGAATGAAGAATGAGCGAGCGAGCGCCCCCTGCGGCCGGGTCCCGTGCGGGTACGGGGTGCGCAGGGGTGAATGGGACCTGCCCTGTCCTTAGGGAGTCAGTGGTCCGCAGAGGAGACGTTCAAAGGCTAATGAGGCCGTGAGCACAGGGTGGGGACCACGGAACGTCTCAAAGGGGTAGTGCCCGGCCCGACGGAGGTGGACCTGGAGGAGGTGATTTCGGAGCTGAGGCTTGAAAGACAAGCGGGTGGCCGGTAGGTCAAGAAGGCACGTCAGGCAGTGGGACCCCTGTGTGCGAAGGCCTGGCGGCCGGGGACGTAGGCAGCTGCACGGGGTCCAGCCCAGGCACAAAGCTGTCCGTCCTCCACAGGCTGGGAGTGGGGCGGGGGGCTGTGACAAGGAGGGGCGCCGTCCGCTTTGGGCTGGAAAGACCCCTCTGAATGGCCTGAAGGCTGGGGAGGAGCTGGGCCAAGGCTCCAGGGGACGGTGGGGGGCAGTGGCTGGGTCCGTGGGGATGGAGGGGAGGGCGGGAACGAAGGGACAGCAAACAGGCAAACAAGGCGGAATTTGGACAAACTGTAGGCTGTAGGCGGGAGGCGGGGCCGGAGCCAGCACTCCTCAGAGATCTGGGGGTCAGATTCTTAAAGCTGAGAAAGAGAAGAGGGAGGGAAGTGGGGGGGGACGGTGGAGAGGTCCCTGGACTCAGGACCCCAATCCTTGCTTGTGGGAGCGAGCCTGCACCTGCCAGCAGCCCAGACCTTCTGGGGAGCAGTGCTGGAGGGACCCTGGTTGCCATCGGCCCCTGGCTGTGCAGCCTTGGGCCAGCACCTCGGCCTCTCTGGGCTCCGTGTCCTCTCCTGTGAAACAGGGTGTCTTAACGGAGCCGTGCAGGGCTGCAGCAAGGCAGCCAGAACAGGGTCTGGCACATTGCAAGTGACCAGCAACTGTGAACTGGGACTCAGCCTGGCTGGTAAGTGGGGAGAGAAGAAAACCTTGCTCGGATGCCATGTTGCTGCCAATTGTCTGTTAGGAACCGTACATTGCTGTCACTCCATTTCCTCAGCTGAGAAATGGGAATTAATAACAGATGCT